TATTTCTCCTTTTCTATCTCTGCATTAGGGTTGATGGAACCCTAGGAGATTGGTGTAGCCTTGACTACTAGTGAAGAGAACTGATAAAGGAGACCCCTATTTGTCTGAAGGCATGTTTGAAATTGAATTTTGAATCAATAAATCCCCTTGGAACTGATTCAAATCAGAATCTTGGATCTAGAGTGATCCCTTTTCAATGGAACAAATTATTTAGAGGGGCATGGTCTACTCAGATCTACGTAGGAGGACAAGAAAGATTGAGATATGTTACTGGAAGTGCTGTTGTTGAACTAGAAAATTTAGATGTTTCACATGCTAAGTGGTTACAAGAGAATTATATGGCTATGTTATGGCCCGCAAACTCCATGCAACCACATATTATCAGTCACATGCTTTTTTGCTGGTCTTGAATAAATTAATAAACAGTAGAAAAAAAGGAGATAAGAATAGAAAGGAGGGGAGCAGAGAAGAGAAAAAAAAAAAAAAAGAGAAGAGAATGGGGGGAACTAGAAATCATGGGACTCGATCATCAAGCAGTCCCATCAATCCGTGCTTCCTTGTATAGGGGGCAGCGGATAAAGTACATCCTAGACACTTATAAATAAAAGACAAACTAGAAATGACCCATGTTATGCATGGGTTGAATTGAATGTCCAAATTTATTTCTCTAGAAGATATGTGTTCTTATAACTCATCCTTTCCAAACCTAGACCATCCTTCTTAAACACATAATCTCCTAATTTTTGTTTATTTAAGTCTTTGAAGTAACCTGGTAAAAAAGGTAGATGTTTTTAGGGTAATTATTCTTCAGTTCCATTAGCTTTCCCAGAAAATCTCTTAACAACATGATTCTAAAATTGTGAGGACCTAGACAGATCAAGATGTCACATTCACACCCAGAACATGTAGCATTATTCAACCATAACTCTCTTCCAAGATTGATTCCTGAAACTAGACTTAGCCCTAGCTTTTATTTAATACCAGGAACTTCATTAATAACCTCAGTGATTGCCTGCAAGTTCCTCATTGCCTCAACCCCTAGATAAATCTCTCTAGGGGTTGTTCCAGATGTCGTACAATTCTCTCTCTATAGATAAATCTCTTTAGTCTTCAGAGGAAGAAAAAGAGACCTAAAAGGACTGGTCACCCTCTAAGGAGGCTTTCATGCCTCAAGTTGCTATGTTTGGTGAGTTGTCGGTGATTCCTTGAACTCCCTCATTTTAATGATTTGAAGAGGGATTGTTGAGGATGTTTCAGGTTAGTTGATTTGTTTCTTAAATTCTCTAGTGAACAAAGTGCTTGGATGGTGTGTTGTGATAAGATAACTAAGTTCCATGCATGCTCGTGTGATTGATTAATGCTGTGAAGAAGTTTTTTGTGATTTTTTATGAGTTGCTACTGGTGGTTTCGGTGTTTCTGGGCAACCTAATGTTCTGGTTGGTGGTTTTATTTGTGGGTATGGATAAATTTATACATGGAAATTGCTGGAAAAGTAAATCAGAATTGTTTGTGGGTGTTATGGCATCGTGTACAAGACTACAGGTGGAGTTAAGTCTAGTGTGATGAGAATTGTTTGTGGGTGTTTTTTTTTGAGAAAATATAACCAAGATTTATTGAGAATAGGGGGGGGGACCCTGCAAGTTACAAAGTTACAAAGGAGGAAGCTTGTCACTATACAGATGCTCCAAATATACACCAAATTTAGCTAGGCCATCTGCAGTATGATTGTATTCCCTAGGAATCCAAACTAAGTTAACATTCAATCCATCCAAAGAATCCCAAGCTTCAGTCAGATAGTGATAAAATCTCCAAGGGCCCCCTTTTTTGTCTCTTAACCATTTTATTGTATTTGCTGAATCACCTGCAATGATCAAATTCTGAATACCCAAATTCTTAATTATCCTGATTCCGGTGAAGCAGCCATCACTTCAGCCTTTGTGGAGTCGGCCCAACCGATTGGGCCACTAAAAGCCCAGCAAATATTGCCCCTTTCATCCCTTACTGTACCACCAATACCTGCAAAACCCAGATTACCTAAGGCACAACCGTCAAAATTAAGGGTTATCACACCTTCACTGATGGAAACGGGATGCCTCAAGGGAGTTTGCTGAGGATGAGGCAGAAACAGAAAGGGGTGAATATTTCTGATAATATCATTGACTGAAAGTCCTTTAAATAGATCTGAATTCACTGATCAAAGGATGCAAAGATAGGTAATATCTGAGATTAACTCCTCCAAGGTTCTGCTTTTATTGTCAAAGATACGGGTGTTTCTTTCATCCCAAACGCCCTACATTACTGCATGAGGCATTGATTGCCAAAAGACTTTTACCCCTTTTGCTAAGCCCTATTCCTTGCCATTGATTCAAGTTGTCCATAATGTGTTTTGGAAAATCCCAGCTGTACCCTGCCATATTCAAGAAATGGGACCATATTCTTTGAGTGAAGCTGCAATGAAGAAGGATGTGATTTGGAGATTCACCCTCGCTGAGACATAAAATACAAGCATGAGGAGAAATGGAGCATCTTCCCAAAAGCTTTTTCTGAAGGAGATCACAAGTATTCACTTTCTGGAGACAGGCTTCCCATACAAAGAAGCAAATTCTTGAGGGGATGTGGCTGCACCGAATTTTCTTGTAAGGAAAAGAGGGATGCTGATCTTCAGCAGTCAAAGCCCTGAACATAGACTTAGAAGAGAATTCGCCATTTGGGTGAAGGGTCCATATTCGGGTGTCAGAATGAGAGGGGGATATATAGGCATCTTTGAGGGTTTGGATTAAAGCTATTAAATCAGAAATCTCCGAGTCCCTTAGGGGTCTTCTGAGGTGGAGGTTTAAAGAATTCTCGGCAGACTGGTTTGGGAGGCAATCAGAAATAGAGGCTTCTTGGACAAGGGTGAGGTTAAACAGCCTAGGGAAAGAGGCGTCCAGGGTATATTCCCCCCATCAAAGATCTTTCCAGAATTTAATTTTAGAACCATTTCCCACATTATACCTTATAAAAGGAAAGGATGAAGTATGAATGGAACATATAGCTTTCCAAGGATTGATGGCCTTTATCCTGTTCAAATGGAGATTGCAATCCCACCCGTTTGTATTTCGTCCATATTTACTTGAGATGACAGCAGTCCAAAGAGCATTAGGTTCTTTCGGAAATCTCCAGAGCCATTTGCCTAGAAGAGAGGAATTTTTCTCTTTAAGCTGTCCAATACCTAAACTGCCTTCCTCTTTTGGTCTGCATACTTGTTTCCAGCTGACTAAATGGTTTCTCTTATCTCCACCACCTTCTCAAAGAAAATTCCTTTGAAGCTTCTCAATCTGATTTCTGACTTTGGTAGGAATCTAGAAGACAGAGAGAGAGTAGACCGGCAGATTTGATAAGGAGGCCTTTAAGAGAGTAAGCCTACCCCCTTTGGAGAGATAACACTTTTTCCAAGTCAATAGTTTCTTCTTGCCTTTCTCCAACACAGGACTCCAAAAGTTGAGGGATTTTGGATTCCCTCCAAGAAGAGGTAGGTAATGGGGAGATTCTTCACTTTGCACCCTAATAAAGATTTGAAATTTTCTAGAAGATCCACTTCCACTGAGTTGATAGCCACAATACTGCTTTTGCAGAAATTAACTCTCATACCAGTGGGAATCTCGAAACATTCAATTACCAATTTAGTGTTTGTGATGTTGGTTATAGAGGCATCTAAGAATAGGATTATGTCGTCGGCGAACTGTAAGTGAGAGATGTGAAGTTTATCCCTACCCACTTCAAAACCTTTCACCAAGTTGAAAAGAATTGACTTGTCAAAGAGATAATTAAATATATCCATCACCAAAGTGAAAAGTAAAGGGGAAAGAGGGCAACCTTGTCTTAGGCCCTTGCTTGCCTTGAAATAACCTTTCGCTTCACCATTTATCAATATTGAAAACCATGGAGAGCCAATACAACCTTTAATCTACCTGATCCAATTTCTCCCAAAACCTCTTAGCCTTAAGCAATCAAGAATGCAGTCCCAATCCACTTTGTCGTACGCCTTCTCAAGATCAAGTTTCACAAGGACCCCCGGGATCCCAGAGGATTTTCTGTCTTCTACACACTCATTCGCAATAAGAATTCTGTTTACAATTTGTCTTCTACACACTGATTTGGGGAAATTAGATCTTCAAG